TTTATATTCTTATAATTTGTGTTTGCATTATAATACGATTTTATTAATCTAAATTCTTATCATAAAATAAATTGTCTATTAATTGACAATTTTATCATATTACTGACACCAAATTACACAATATATTTTCCGTTAGTATTATTCACACAATTATTAAAATATTTATCAAATGATATGTTGACATATGATATTAATATACTTAATCTGAGTATGTTACAATCAAATTACAAATTAATAAATTTCTATTTTTAGGATATGTATCCGGTGATATCTCTTCTATTTATTAAAATATGTCATAAGGTTTATCATAAAAATGAAACACAACTTATAAGTTGGAAATAACTAAGCTTACTGAATATTTATATTAATGCCAACATTTCCAAGAATTGAATACTAAATTATAAGTGAATAGAATTATCATTAATGAATTCATGCCATTATTTTACTGGAAACTATTTATTGTAACTATATTTACACATTTATATTATACGGAACAACATAATTCTTACTAACTTATTCTCATTTAAGTAAATATTTCATTGAAACCTTTATTATTAAATTTTAGTGTTTAATTTGAAAATATGTTGCGATATTTTGTGAAATAAAGAAAATTATACTCTACTATCATATGGTTTGATATTAATTAGTATTCTCAAAGCTAATATTTACCATTATTATAAGTTAAACAGAATTATATTTTCATGTGATTTTAATGAAATACTAAACAACAGAATCTGTTGAATATTAAAATAAAATTTATTAGCTCTAATTATTAGAATCTAAGTTAATACCAAGTACCAAGTTATCTATGTGTTTTATTCTCTCTCTCTCTCTCTCTCTCACACACACACACACACACTCACTCACTCACTCACTCACTCACTCGCTCACTCTCTGAAATTAGAAATATAATTAATGGATAATAAGGGATTATAAATTGAAACAATAAAACAATTAATATTTTATTAAATTGAAAAAGAAACTATTTATTGTTTCAAAAAAGTTTCTAATAAATAAATTAATGACTGTATCAGAATTTAATTATAAATTATTAATATAAAATAAATAACATTTAAGTGTGATTTATCGAGTGCTCTTCAATTTCTTATTGTATAAAAATAGCTAACATTTAATATGTTTGTCTGACTTTCATCCTTAGGTTCAATAAAGTCTCATATGGACGTCATACTAATTAGAAATTACTGTAAGCAGATAACTTAATATTAAAATGAATAAAATTTAATGGTAAAAAATTAGCTACTAAATTAATTAATGAATTCAGCCTATTTATAGCATTAGATAACATTCAGTTGAATATAATTACTAGCAAATGAAAATCTTAAGTGTTTTGATTGTAATCATAATCTGGATATACATCTAACGAGTAATAACAAAATGTCTGTTTGACTACTTGTAATGTATGTGGAATAAAATTAACCCAAATATAGACATTATATTAATATTCAGACATATCTGGCAAATGAGTAGAAAATATATCACATTAATATAATTAAATGATTGTAATTCCTAATATAACACCGAAATGATAGAAAAATATAAAAAGTAATCTATTTTATCATATGATAATGATCTAGATTCACTTTTTATAAATATTAACGTCACATTTAATGATAATATTATAATTATTTGTAAAAGTCATTTAAATTCAAAATAGAGCGCATTAGAAAATAGCTGTAAATTATTATTAGTGGCTATAAATAAATATTTTAATTATGAGAAACTAATTAAATATTTGTAATCATAATATAAATACCAATCCAGAAGATGGATCGCCAGAAGAATAGAGCTCTTCTTTTTTCTTTGGGTGCAATCAAATACCTGAAAGTGATATCAATATTACATTTTATCATTTTTATACACAATTCCTATTATATTAATATTGTTACTAATTTATGGGCACTATATTACTTTTATTCTTGTAATATATCCAAATTATTATACTGTATTTATAATATATTTTAATTCTTGGAAACAAAAACCTTTTTAATAGGAGACGTTATATAAAATAATACATTAAACGTGTCTTAAAAGGCGGATAATTTTGATACCATAATCTTTATTTGTGTTAAATTGGAGTAAAATCTTTTAAGTAAGGATTTATAGCAAACAAAGGAATAATTGACATAAGAATTACATTTCCTAACTTTAAATTCTTTTGTTCCCTATTATAATAAAATGCTCAGTTAAGGCTTTGTCTAAAATTAGTTTGTATAAAGTTTTAATGTATTTGAATTATATTCTTAAACTATTACTGTAATCCATTAAAATGTTCTTTATTTTAGTTTCTAAATCACTGTATTTTTTTAATATATTATAGTAGCATTTCACAATCATTATTATAATAATTTTTTTTAAATTAAGAAAACTAATGATAAATGAATAAAAATCTACAGTATAAACTTTCATAACTTATACAATATAAAATATAATTATTTTTAGCAAAATTGTATTTTTTAAATTTTTAAATGGCATTGAAAACCATATCTAGAATTGAGACAATTTATTAAGCGATTTCATACCCAACGGAAATTATAGTGAAGTACTTATACTTAACGATAAGAAGTTATAGTTTCTAGTACTTCACACAAATAAAGCAAACAAAACAATATATTAAAGAATAAATACTTGTATTCTTCATATTCTTCATAAAGTTGTGGATTCTTGACGGACACCTGTTCGTAGAAGTGATGCAAATATGATTTGACACCAAAAAATCCGGGACACGACTCCTGTTTGGTGGTCGAGTTGTCCGGGTTTGACAGTTCATCGCATTCGTGAACACTATCTAAATGTTTGGCTCCTTTGCTATCATTTGTCTCCAGAGTATTCTTCGCATTCAAATGAAGTGCAGTGCAAAGAAAATTCAAACAAATTGAGTACAAAATTACACTTTCGAGACGTGAAACACAGCACATAATTAAGAGAAAGTGATGCCAACTGTCCATTACCTCACTTCCGACCATTTCTTTTCGTTTTCATATATACGCGGTATATATGGTGTGAGACTTGGTTTTTGTTTGTATTTTCTAAACCAACTTTTGATCTCAAATAAGTTATGACTTTATTGAACCTAAGGATGAAAGTCAGACAAACATATTAAATGTTAGCTATTTTTATACAATAAGAAATTGAAGAGCACTCGATAAATCACACTTAAATGTTATTTATTTTATATTAATAATTTGTATAACATTTTATATTAATAATTTATAATTAAATTCTGATGCAGTTATTAATTTATTTATTAGAAACTTTTTTGAAACAATAAATAGTTTCTTTTTCAATTTAATAAAATATTAATTGTTTTATTGTTTCAATTTATAATCCCTTATTATACATTAATTATATTTCTAATTTCAGAGAGAGAGTGAGTGAGTGAGAGAGAGAGAGAGAGAGAGATAATAAAACACATAGATAACTTGGTACTTGGTATTAACTTAGATTCTAATAATTAGAGTTAATAAATTTTATTTTAATATTCTACAGATTCTGTTGTTTAGTATTTCATTAAAATCACATGAAAATATAATTCTGTTTAACTTATATTAATGGTAAATATTAGTTTTGAGAATACTAATTAATTTCAAACCATAGGATAGTAGAGTTCTTTATTTCACAAAATATCGCAACATATATTCAAATTAAACACTAAAATTTAATAATCCACAATTTAATAATAAAGGTTTCAATGAAATATTTACTTAAATGAGAATAAGTTAGTAAGAATTATGTTATACCGTATAATATAAATGTGTAAATATAGTTACAATAAATAGTTTCCAGTAAAATAATGACATGAATTCATTGATGATAATTCTATTCTCTTATAATTTAGTATTCAATTCTCGGAAATGTTGGCATTAATATAAATATTCAGTAAGCTTAGTTATTTCCAACTTGTAGGTTATGTTTTATTTTATGATAAACCTTATGACTTATTTTAATAATTAGAAGAGATATCACCGGATACATATTCTAAAAATATCAATTTATTAATTTGTAATTTGATTGTAACATACTCAGATTAAGTATACAGTATTAATATCATATGTCAACATATCATTTGATAAATATTTTAATAATTGTGTGAATAATACTAAAGGACAATATATTGTGTAATTTGGTGTCAGTAATATGATAAAATTGTCAATTAATAGACAATTTATTTTATGATAAGAATTTAGATTAATAAAATCGTATTATAATGCAAACACAAATTATAAGAATATAAATTTCATTTATAATAAATGTCATAATATATTTACTGTATATTTATACGGTAAACTCGTGTAGATCATATATTTAGACTGTCCATAGAGTATAAATAGGGCAACAATTTAAGAAATTACATTTATTTCACTTGAATTATTGAGAGAAAATCATAAAAATATCTGGAGCAGAATATTGTGAATATATTATACGAAATGATGTTCAGTGTTAACATTACAGATGAGATTTAAGAAAATACATAACAAAATACAAAATGTCTAAAAATGAAAATGAAATTTTCGGTTTACATCACATAATAATGATTTTACAAACTCAATTCTGTACTTGTATAGAAAACATGGATTTTATTTACGACATAACTTAAATGTGAAATGTACTTTTGACGCACAAACACTTTATAGACAAATGTCTTGAGTCAAAACACAATTTTCAAAGAAATAAAAAACAATATAATATTCAAAGTTTCCAAATAAATAATTCCATATAAATAAGAAAATAAAGTCTTAAAACATTATTTATAGAGAATTCCAAATAAATCAAAACAACTTTTTGTGATAAGAATTTTTCTATTACTTTATTTTCTCTCTCTTTTTGTTGTATTAAAACTTTTATATCAATACCAATAAAGTGATGAAAATATTTGCACTGAAAATCATTTCTACTCAATGAACAAATTCCCAAACTATGGTCAGACATATTGAGGTCTCTCTCTCTCTCTCTCTCTCTCTCCCCCTCTCTCTCTCCCATAGATCCTTACATTATATGCGATTCACTATTGAAATGTCAATTAGTTTTCGTCTCGTTTCTCATAACTAAAATTAGGGACAATTTTTGTGCTCTTATTTTGACAACAAAACCAAACAAAAGCCAAACGCTAACTCGTAAACACATAATGAAAATATGACATAAACTCATAAAACCTTGTCTGATATAAATAATTTTTATTCTTTTAGTTTTGAGAGTATAAACTCGATTCTCGTTATATAAATAATGGTAATAAAAATCAAGTGTTAAACCCAGTAGTATAGCAATAAATTTAATAAATACATCATTTCATATTATTTGTATAACAAGATCTATATAAAGCAGTTATTTTGTATAAACATAAATATAATTCAATTTATTATATCATATATTATTTTTAATAAATTCATTATGATAATACATAATTGCAAATTAATTCATGAAATTGAACTCATTTTTGAATAATGAATAATTTCAAAACATTATGATACATAACATGACAACTATTTTGTTATTGTCTTAAGATGGAGATTACATATTATGATATAATACTATAGTTGATCGCAAAACATATAAGATATCTATTTTATAAGACTTATATACGAATGCAATACAAATTCAATCAAATGAGATGTCGGCCCTAATCTACTGAGTGATTGTGATTGTGCTCTACATTATTATATACTGTACTTATCTAATGTATTTTGATTACTTTTTTCATGACAAACAAATTTCATTTAATCGCCTTGATCTTTGATTATATATTTTCATATAAAAAACCTTTTAAATAAAAGACCCAAAAAATGTGAACAAATTTCTGTTTGTTTTTCAAAACACAATCATTTGAACAGCACTTAAACCCCGAAAAATCTCAACCAAAACACCATTAAAACGATTGGTTGGGTTTTGAGATATTTCATTCACATTTTCCGATCATATGTGTTGGAGGGATGGAGTCATTTACTCAACACTTAATGTTAAGTAGTCTATGAAAATGAATCAATCGATCGGTTCATACATTTGTATCATTTATATGTGGAAACCGTTTCAACCAATTCTTATCTGCAGTGGGAATGAGAGTTGTTATGGATTTTTACACTCATTCTGTTAACCGTTATAATAATGTAAACCATTTCAGCCCTTATTCTTAACGCACTTTTCTCTCTCGAGTCTCGCAATAAGTAGAAATCAAAATAACATTCAATGGAAATAGGTTTTTGTTTTATAATAATAATATCTAAATTGTATTACACTTATATATTTATGACAAGTCGTGGGCAGTCGACTCCACTACAATAACATGCCTGACCAACCGCTGTTGGATAACATTTTCCACTCGTTTAATGTGACTCTACGTAATAATCTTGTAATTAAAGCCCCCATTCCTCGCACTCCATACAAACCACTAATTATGAGCCCCTATACTCTCAATTTCATGCTCAAGGCTTACATGGTTTTTGGTCATGAAATCAAACCAAACCATTATATTAAACTAAACACTGAAGCGCTATATTAATGAATACTTGATTTGAAAATAATTCAAATATACATTTTTAATGAAAAACTAAAAATTGAAAAGTCACGTGATTGTCATTTAAACGGATAATTTAATTTGGTTTAATATGAAATAAATAGTTTCCTCAAAAACAAGTAACAAGTCTTAAATTTGATATATTATGTAATGATTACGTCCTACACATAGTCCACACATTTGATGGATACTCAAATTGAATGTTCAATTTTATCACTCACTTACAGCTATAATACCGATTGATTTAAACCTACTGTCGGGTGAATAGAAAGGCATTAATATTTATATTATTCTGTAAATTATGGTTTTGATAATATCTAAAATAGGATTTTATGGCTAAACAAATTAATACAATGAACTATTGTTATTACTTTGAAATCATCTTTATTATATAACACATAATAATATGTGGAACACATAAAGCAATTAAAATCAAGCTAGTAATAAAATTACATATGATTAAATCGTTAGCTAATGAGCCATAAATATTCAGAAATTGGTAGGCCAAGTGTTTTACAAACAACTATTTTTATGACTTATGTCTAATATAATTGAGACCATACCATAAGACTCTATGAAAGTGGAGAGACACCTAAATTACTTCCAAACTATGGCTGTCTTTCAACTGATATTTACATTCACTACACGTCTCAACACTTTAATATACGGGAATATGTCACAAGAAATTTCATTAATTTAGTAGATTTTTGTGCAAAGGGTTTAGAAATGTGTTTTCTATCAAATTATTTATTTGTACATTTTGTAGTCTCTATAGGAAAATTACAAAAAAATATATCAGGAGTGAAATGTTGCTGAAAATTTAATAATTTGTCAATCTATTTATGACAATAAATTATTTCTTATTTGTATACTATTTTTCTTATTACTGGTAAATAAAAATTGGAAATTATTTATTTATAGATTAAACACAATAATGTTAATATTTTATACTATTTTTACAAATATTATATGAAATAGAATTTTATTGATTCCCTACTTAACGTCACTTTCAACTATTTTTCTATTAAATCTATTTTTTGCTTTCAATTTAATAAATGATTTCAACGTAAGAAACAAAATACTATTTAAAGACTTTTTATTTTATACACATTTAACAAATTTAGTCTATTTCATTTTCATATCTATTATGAATAACTTTATTCTTTAAGAATTTAAATATTTCCTTGTATTTATTATTGGATTTTTAACTTGAAATATACTGACTTTTTCAAGTATAAAGGTTTCATTAGAATTCAAATTTAATCAAATATAAGGCGTTTTCCAGACGTTGAGACAATTATTCAAATTATATGTTATGTCATATACCATATAAAATATACATGAAAATTGGTGTTTGTTTCACTACTCCTAAGCACGTAATTAAATGTCAAAGTTTTACTATTTTTGAAACATTTATTAAATTTTGTAGAAAAAGGATACTCGACTGAGTGTTTGAATGGGCACTGGAATGGCAAATAAATAATAGGCAAACTTTAATCCAAAATCTAAAAATCTTTTATAAACCCGAGATTAACACTACTGTATTGAACTGAACTAAATACAACTACTTTTTATACTTTGTGACCTTTTATTGAATACTTTGAGTAAATAATTATAGATTTTAGTGGCTTTTTATAACAAAACTATTAGTTTGTGTCATCCCTTTGGTATTGTTTGAGCGCACAATACATTAGATCTTTAATCAATATTCCGTTCAAATGTAAACTCTATTATTATATTAAAACTACAATTCATTTGAGATGTTTATCACATGAATGAAATTATATCTAAATATTTCAAAATGTTATACATTTACAATCAAGAATCTACTACTAGAATATTCCCTGTGTTTAAGTATTTATCTATAATTAATAATAAATGACATAGTTGCCATTCATTTTTATTGAGTAGAATTTGTTTTATAGAAAAAAATCAATTTTAAAATGTGCTGTAAATAGCATCCATTGAAATGAACCGAAAAGTATGATATGATAGCAAATTGAGAGCCATATTTAGCTCACATATTGTGTTGGAATATATGCTTCTTATGACAGATACACAGACAGAGAATCATAAAAATAATCCATAAGTTCTCGAAAACATTATTATCACAGCTTTAATACATTCATAACTACTTATTCCAACTCAACATTTATATGATCTCTACTAAAACAGTATTAAAACACATGCAACACATATAATATAATATAATCACTCAAATTCTTACCTCTATATTAACGAATGAGTTTAATGTTTGATACAAATTTTTAATATGATATTAAATGTGATAAATTCATGAAAGTAGAGGGAGTGTAACCAGTGGTCAATGATGTGATTGTTTGTGTAAAATAGGTGCCAATAATAACATTATAACCTTTAAAAAATAAACACTAATTTCATAGTGAATTAGAGACACAGAGAGAGGGTTCACATTGGAGTTCATACTATGCTATGCGTACTCGAAAAG